TGGTGGTGGTGGTGGTGGTGGAATCCTGCTAGTGGAGTGTCGTACCTTGTGCCAATTCATAAGGCCCTCCGAGAGTCGCCATTGGGACTCTCGAGTACAGAGAGCAGCTTCTCGGCGAGAAATTCTTACTGGGGATTAGTAGGGAATAACGGAATACAATCCCTCTTTTATTTGCATATAACATTTTGCCTTATTCCCTACTAACCCCCAGTAAGACTTTGACTTTGCAATTGAGGATGGCCGACCCAGTTTGCTAGACATTGGGAGCATCAAGTCATGACATGTAAGTCTGCTAGGGATATGTGAGGATGATCAAGGGATTATGCAGGTTCCTACTATGGATCATGTAAGGACTGTTTGTAGAAACTGCCGGATGTGAAGGTGGGGGAGGCTGTCTCCACATTGACCATACCTTTGAAGAAGTAGACTTGCCATTGATTGCTATTGTTTTGGCACCACTTTGTGGATATTGCGGAGTACCGACGCCAAAGTCTGCTGACCATTTCTTGCTGCTGCTTCGAAAGACCATGCATGGCAGAGCATCCACTAAGGAAAGCCTGGACGATTGCAAAAATCGCTGTTTGTCCACTCCTTCCTGCAAGGACTGCCTGCGACATGCTTGCGTAAGCATGGCTGAAATTATGAAGAAAGCGGGCCATCGTAAGCTTTTCTCGCAAGCGGTTCAAGGCCTTCTGGAGGTTGGTCCATTCTGGTGGGATGTATGCTCAAACTGTTCGGCTTGGCCAAGCCAAACCCCAAACCAGGCCAGCCCAAATTGCACGAGCAATCCCCATGATGCCATAATTATCATTGGCTCACACGTAGCAGAGAGTAGTGGTACTGCGCTCATGCTAATATCACTGAGCTGGGACTGCTATGTGCTTTCAGCCAGTGCAGGATCCCAAGAGCTATCCTCACAATACTGACTGGGGCGATTTTAGAATGCAACAGAATGGAAGAAGGACATAGGCCCAGTGCCACAAGGAAGCAGAAAATTCTGGCACAGCGAGCATGCAGGGATGCAGGGGCCAAAAGTGGCAACGATGTATTGTCACCGGCGATGCTAAGAACGCTTTTTTAAAACAGGTTGTTGAAGGAGTTGCGTAAAACATCAGCCATGCACTTTTCAACCGTTCCGAATCCCATAGAGCCCTTCCATCCATTAGCTTTATCCTGAACTCTCCAGTAACCATCGCTGTCAGATTGCCTGTTGCTCCTCTTTTGTTGGTCATCTCCGTATTGCTGTTGCTGCCATTACTGCTGTCATGATTTGGGTGCTCCAACAATCTGAGAGCCAGTTGAGCTGGGACAAGAGCCCGGGACTATGGCTTATTTACGTGTATATAGAACGGACACAATTGATCGGCGTGCGCAGATCATGGGAAAACGATATGAGTAAATGGAACAGGAACGAGTAAACAACTTGAACACGTGTTAAATGGGACTGCCATAAGGATTATAGCCTTTGGGTCGAGTTCGGGTCAATGATCTATGGAATCTACCATTTCTGTACAAGTCAGTACAGTATGCCTGCCAGGGCCTCGACTGGATCGGAAACCGTGCCTAAGCTGCGTACAGGATTGCGGTTGCGTATCGTCATTGTCAGCAAGATTCAGTTCAAGCGCAGCAGACCTGTGCAGACATAATGTGTGTAGTTGGGCCAATTTACGCTCCACTCGGAGATACTGCGGCTGCGGCATGGGTGTCTCAATCAACGCACGGCCAGTAGCAGATCGTGACAGGGTGTTCTGATAGCACCTTCGTAAGCACAATGCTTGGGTTCTTACTTTTGGACACCCACAACAAGGGGAAGCACACTGTCAAACAGCATGCATCGGGTCCCTCTTCATAAGGACTCCCAAAAGGAGGCCCCTGATTCTTTGAAAGCCCGGTAGGATCCGCAACCAGCTCAGGCTGCAGAGTCTGGACGCATCCCATTACCGGCAGCGTTCACGAAGCAGGCGGTGTCTTAGACCGTAGGGACAAGTGGCTTTGCCAGGGGGCAGTCATGTTCGTGTCCATGCATATGCCAAGAGAGGTCGACGCAACTGTGACAGCAGCATCACGCTAGCGGTAGTCACCGGGTTGCCAGCTGCCCAGAATATGGAAAGCCATTTTTCATGGAGCGACCTGCCCTTTGGCATCTTGCACCGGGCCCTAAAAGCCCAGCAGCACTGAATGCAGGAATGACCTAAATGGTATTAGGATCCCTCACATGACTTGGGGTACACTCCTTCCGTCATTACAGTCTACAGGGCTCCCAGGGTTGCCACCAAGTCTTGAGGCAGCTTCCGCCGTCCAAGTTTGCACAAGAATCTATGCGAAGCTTCCAGAAGTGAGGTATTCCTTCTGGAGGATCCTCATCAAAAGGATTATAGTGTTTTGTGGTCTTTTTGGGGGGCCCAACCTAGTTACTTATGACAGCTAACATTTGAAGAAACCTAGATGGAACCTGATTCCAAGATTTCAATCACACATTCCAAATGGTTTAGAACCTTGGGCTTCGCGATAGAGGGCGCGCAAGTCCTGACTGTTAGTCTGTACAATGCAACTGCCCAATATCAATCAGTATCCAGGTAGGGAAAAATCCAAGTTTCAGCCAGGTTCTATCGTAACAACAACAACAACAACAACAACTACTACTACTACTACTACTACTAATTCCACTGATTTAACCAAGCAAAAAAGAGAACCCTGAAAAGGGAGGCCATGAGTTCAGAAGCGTCCATGTCGGATGCTGTATGATGTAGGGTTTAGGTTAGGAGGGCCCCCCAATGTAATAGTGGTATAATAGGAATGTAATGGGACCTGAATATAATCCTCATTATCCTTTATACTGGGGCTCCACCTAAGGTTTCGGGCTTGGGGTCCTTCAGGGATCTGTGGAGCATCGCCCATGGCAGGTTCGACCTGCTTGCGGTTAGTGCCGGAAACTTGGCAGATTCTTTTGGGATTCGCCTGGGCTAAGCGCGAGTCATCTGAGTTCCTACAGAGATTGCTTAGGTTTCCAAAGCAGGTTCGTAGCGCTGCAGCGCGAGCATTGCATAGTAGGCTTCTATGTTACAGCGACTTCTGAGCTCGTCATGCACGCGGATAGAGGCAGAGATGAGGTTGTCAAGTGAGCTCACGTGCATGCTGTATGTGTCGAATCCACGAGAAATTCTTGGCTATGTCACACAGCTCGCTCTAGCGCGACGTTGTGCTGCATGTCATGCTCGTGCAAACACCGGGTACGCCCAGCCTTTTTCAGTGTAGACTACGCTTCTGGCTTGACTTCCTTGTCTGCGCTTTTTGATCAGGATGTGTCGGTGTTGCAGAACTTTGTCGCAGTAAATGGTGGGCATGGCAGAAGCTGCCGGGGAGAGCATGCCTCAGACAAGAAGGACTGGCAAAGCTATTCTGGAGGGAGTCGTACATGTGTTCAAAGAAGGCCCGTCTTACACTTACCTTCACAGGCAGCTTACTTCACGGCCAACATGGCCCACTCCCTGGATGAATGCAAAGTTGCATGCATGGCGAATCCCAGCTGCAAGGCCAGGCGTGTTTGAACAACACAGCAACACACACGTGGAACCCATCTTTGGTTGCCAGGGCATCAGCTTCGTCAGCTCTGGCAGCTGTGAAGTTTGGACACGGCCGGGAGGACTTCTTTTAATTTGCAACAATACAACCCGTGGCCACCCGACACCGAAGCGTTCTGCTCCGCAGGAATTGAGGCTACAGCCGAGGATGACGACTCCGTTTGCTTGAAGGTGGGCTTGCAGATGCCTGAACACAAATCCTGCGACCTCGGGGAGTGCCGTGAGACTGTGAGACTTTCCTCAAGGAGATGCTCGCATAAAAACGACAATTGAGATGTACTTTCGGGCCCCTTAGGTTCTCAAGTTTTGCAAGCCACACACGCCGTTCCAAAGAGCAGGTGCCCACAGAGCCAACACCTGAGCCGAGCACCACCACGGCCACCACCACGACCACCTTTCCATCCACCTGGAAAGACTGGGAGCTGTTTTGGGGGATGAATTGCAGCTTGGCAGGCTTAAGTCTCAAAAGGGCGTGGAGCAGGAAAATGTAAGCCGATTTACGGGCAAAAGTCAGGTTGGAAGCATCATGGCGCGGATGAGTTCGAAACAGACCCATTGCTGGGAGAATACTCTCTACGAGAGTGCCAAGAGGCCTGCCTCAAGGACAAACGCATCAAAGATATGGTAGTTTCCCAAATTAAGGGGACCCCAATATAGACCCCAAGATACTATAGTCCTTATTACAGGGGCCCCCAAAACAGTACCCTTAATGTTGGGAAACCCCCATATAACCTTGTGTGCCATGGCATTGACAGCTTATGGCTCTAGATGTCAAATCGTGCCGCAGGAGCCAGACTGCCAAGGAATTGTCATGCCGCAGGGTGACCAGGACGTGTCTCGAAAGACGTGTTGGCTGCGGAAGAAGCTTGGTGTGACGATTTATGAGTGGACATTTCAGGGGTCCTAGAATTCTAGAAATTAGGGGTTTCCCTTCTAGAACGCAGGATACCATCATCCTTGCTATACGGACGCCCAACATCGGGGCTTGATTGTTGGGAACCATTTGTCAAAGTAATGACCTTTCTGAAGGGTGTCCTCATCACCTTGACATGTAACCCTGTCCAGAAGCTCGCAGCACGACAGCAGTTGATCAATTTGCGGCTGCATACGATTCTAGCATCAAGACCAAAAGGGACAACCACACCCAGGCCCGCTGTCATTACTTGGAGGTTTTTGGGCAGTAGTTTAGTAAGGTCATGACTACCTGAAATCCATGTCTCACCCACAAAGAACTACCCGGGCCCCTGGGGGCATCCCTTCTCGAGTAACCCCATGCAAGGAACGTCCGAAAGGACCAATGCCGTCAAGGCCCTGGCCGGCTCTTCCTGCGATGCATGTGGGTCGGTAGTAGTGTGGTTCTGTGCTTCACTTGAGTGGTGCGCATGGCCCGGCTCTAAAGGCAGAGCATAGCAGAGCCCTGTCTCAAGTGACAGCAGCTGAAGAATCCAAGTCTGCCCGAGAGAGGGAGAGCGCAACGTCTGCATGCGCAGTAGTTTACAAAATAGACTGCCTTCCTCTTTGGGTTTTAGTACATGAGAAATGTAGAATCTTACTTGGTCAAACCAACCACTGCGAACAACGTACTGATATAGATTGTTTTCAAAAAGGCGGCCTTACATAGGTAGCGAATGGATGTGCAAGGATTAGAGGAAATTATGTGGGTCCGATATGGATAACGCCGGCTCAAAAAAGGGGGAAGCCCTAGTTATAACCAGGTGACTCCTGTTATATCTACTACCATAGGCACCACCCCTGTTTCGTGATATGCCTACGCAGGCCACCCCAGAAGGGCATCGTTTTAGACAAGTGGTGTGTCCTAAGTTTACCAAGCATCCCTTTCATATTCAGGGCAGACATCCTGAGCTGATGTTTTGGTGCCTTTACATCGGGTAGGTGAGTATTTATCATGAGGTAGTGGCCATGTTTACCATAACGAGGGGATTTCAGTGTTCAAGCCTGACTTGACAAACCAGGGACAGGACAGGAGTCTAGGTTGCAAAGCGCAGTTATGCACACAGCAACCATGGCAAAACCTTAGTCATGCTTAAACATAGGGACTGTGGGGTCTATAGGGGCTACAGTGAGGGGTCTCTTCCTCCACTCTCAATTGATCCTATAACGAAGCCTAAAGCATGGTAGTACCCCTTTTCAGGTCGAGTTCAATATTAAATGCCATGTAGTGTCCATGTTGTTTTCATTCCGCCCCCCAAGTTCCAAACTTGGCCTGAGTAAAAAGCAGGTCATCCTTTTAACTTTTGGTTGCGGCCGGGCGTGCAGCTTCAACGGGCAGGGCAGCTGGGCATCATATCAGTATCTCCACAGATTCGTCAGCACGTAGGCGTGAAGCCCGCGAAAAGGCAGAAATGTTGAAGGACTTACGTCTTACGTGCTCACACAGTTCATGTGCTCTTTGCGGGCAGCTCAGCCGGCCAGCCCTTTATTCCATTTCAGCTGCAGCATTGGTTGCTGTTTGTTATCAACAGTCCAGGGCATGGCTTGTGGCGTTGTATCGCTAGGACCTGTCAGGAATGTGGCAGCCGTGTGCCCACCCAGCATGTTGCAAAAGCAATCTGTTTCGACTATAGCTCCAGGATGTCTGGAAGCACAGAGCTCAAGCGAGAGTTAGCAGAACTGAGTCCCACCGGCGAAGCAGCTTGTTGCGCAGCCTTTGACTCGTGGCCGAGCGTGGACAATGGGGTGAAATGCAGCTGGACGGCAAACTTGGAAAAATTAAGAGGGGTTCTGGGGTTCTGGGTTTGAATCAGCATGTAGTTTTTCAGGGCTGTAACGGAAAAATCTCACTACTTGTCTGTACAGCGTTCAACAGTGATCCTTATGAGTTGCGGCGGGCATCTGCAGGCTTGAAACTTGCTAGCAAGATTCACTTCCTAGACCCAACGCTTTGTGGGAGTTAAGGATCCCACTTATACAGGGGTTAACTAAGGGAAGGTTTAGGGATTAGGGATTGGGTTTGGGGTTTAAGGTTTAGCCTACTTGTAATGGCTTATAAAGTTGTTATAAGGCTTGTCAAGGGTATATAGTACACTAGCTACCTCCAGGGTCCTTCAAAGCAAGTCCCAACTCTGTGCTAGTCCTACCCCTGGCCCATTTTTTCGTTGAAATCTTGACATGTAGTGATGTCAGTCAGGTTCCTATGAAGCGGCTGGAAACAGATAAGCAAACCTTTGAAGATCTTGATTTGTAGTTTCCCTTAGTTTCCAAAAAATGACAGCCATATATGTACCCCAAAATCAAAGGATCCGCAGTACACGGACCCCACAAGGTAATATCTGATTTTTTGGAACTCCCATATGCGGGCGGTTCTTGCGTTCTTTTGCACGGATGCGGATGAAGCGCGCAAGCATGCAGCCCCGTCTTGGCTCAAATTTCAGAAGGCTACTGAGAAGTAATCCCTCCCTAATAGTAAACCCTGCAACCCCCTCGCAACAAGAATTCCAATATTATAGGGGAAATACTCGTACAATTTACTAGGGTGTGGAGCTTGTTTTATGGGGGGGGGATTCAGCTTGGAAGCTGCAATTGGATAGGCATCGTCGTGTCCTGAGGAACTCACACCTTGCAAACTTGTGGCAAGGCCTTACTTACAACCTACAAAAACCCTAAGCGCCAAACCTCGACTGAATCCCCACGTCCCTTCAAAATCCTCCTTGATTTCAGGCTCTGGGTGCACGGCCTTGGTTCTGACAGAACCCTATGGCGGCAGGTGCGACTTTCGACAGCAGCTGCTACATTCAGCGGCGTATCAGGGGTTTTGAAGTGGATGTTTCCAGAAAGGCCTGTCTGAAAAGGAAGCCGACTGATTCCATACATCTCCCATATAGCCTTGTGCTGCAAACATGGCGGGAATCTTCACAGCTATACATCCCATTAGGTTCAGAAAGTTTTCTGGCGGGGGTTAACCAAATAACTTTGTACAATCCTTCTTCTTACTGGTGGCTTGCAGGGATAAGGGAACATATTCCCTGTATAACCCCTATATAACATATTCCCTGTTCATCCCTACTAACCCTACACCCTAAACCCTACATATTCCCTTATTCCCTACTTATCCCCGGTAAGTCTTTTTAGGGACAGCTACTTAGAGTCAGTTGGCGTTGATAGATGGACTCTTGGCGCTGAGAGTGAGGGTGCAGCGGGGAATTCACATATACATACATATATATATATATTCTAGTAGTAAGAAGAATAAGGATAACAATAGTAATACTAGCAGTAATACTAGTATCTATAATAATAGTAATACTAGTAACAACAGCAGCAATCGGAAGATGATGAGTCTATTTTCGTTCTTCCGGGTCCCTGCGTAGCTTTGGGCTTTGGCTTTGTGCACAATGGGCCTTGTATAGCTTTGATTTTAAGCCGCAACAGAGGAGCATGTCGCGGCTGGGGAGCAAAGCTGTTGAATGCGAATTACTATGACCAATATTATTACTATATTTGCTATTATTGCTAGTATTAGTCAGTAGTAGTAGTAGTAGTAGTAGGCGTCCCCCGCCCCTAGGGCCTACATTTTACTGAAAATGGACTATAATGGGAAAGGGGTGGGGGGGGGGGGGGGGGTAGTTCCGTGCTGAG